TGTTGTTGCTACTGATAATGATGATGACGTTGCTATTATTGTGAGTGATGTTGATGATTATGAAGATGACGATGATGGTGTTGTTGTTGCTTTTGTTGTTGATGACGATGATGATGACGTTGCTATTGTTGTTGATGATATTGTTGTTGTTGCTGATAATGTTGTAGTTGTTGATGTTATTGTTGTAGTAGTTGTTGTTGATGTTGTTGTTTTTTGGATTGTTGATGATAATAAATTTAATTACAAGTTATGTCGCAGTTGGGGTTGTTATTTTTGTTGTTGTGAATGTTTTTGTTGTTATTGTTGTTATTTATGATTATGATAACGTTATAGATGATGCTAGCTTCCTTGTGTAATGGTGATGAAGTTGATGAGGTTGAATGAAAATGGCGATGCTTTCCTGACAAGAAATGGCAGTGTTTTATAATAATATTGGTGATGATAATGCTGGCGATGTTGATGATGATGATGATGATGTTGTGATGATGGTAGTAATGATTACGATGATGATAATGATGTTCCATTCAGGCAATTTATCTTGTTTATATACATATTCATTAAGACATTCATTCATCTTGCGATCAATTTATCTATTAAGCTAATCCATCAATCCATCTATTCCTCTATCCATCCATTCTTCCATCCTTCCTGGCTACCCGTCTGGTTTTTCTATGTTTACATTTGTATTAATTAATTCATTCATTAATTAATTCATTAATTCATTAATTCATTCATTCATTCATTCATTCCTTCCTTCCTTCGTTCATTCGTTCGTTCGTTCACTCATTCAATCATTCATTCACTCATCCATCCATCTATAATTCTCTTTTTCATTTTCCTTCAGTTTTCATTTTTCCTCAAAATGCTTAATATTCACACATCTATTAATTATTCATCGTTTGTGAGGCGTTCGTTGGTCCACGTGTATTTATATCGGAGGGACAACTAAGAGAGAATAATAATAATAATTATTCGTTTCTAATTCATCCTTTCATCAGTCCATCTATCCATTTTTTCAACGATCCATCCCTTCATCCATCCATCCATTCATCCATCCATTCATCCATTCATCTATCCATTTATTTATCCATCCATCCATTCATTTATCCATTCATCCATCCATCTAATGAATATAATGTGAATCGTTTAATTTGTTTCACGCCGATATCTTTGGTTGTCGGGGAAGGGCAGAGCCTAATTTGATTTTATATCACCTTAACCCTTGTTTCATCATCATTTTCATCACAATTTTCATTTCATCATCGTTTTCATCACCATTCTTATCATCTTTTCCATCATCATTTGAACCAGCATCATTCCACTCCCATCCAACATTTCCACCTCCTCATCATCATCATCTACTTCATAATCATCTCAGTCATTAATCATCTCATGTTCATAATCACCGTGGTCACATCCATTGTCTCTCCCTTATCTGAATCACTCCCATCCAAATCCCCATTATCACAGCTGCAAACCTCACAACATACGCTTTTATCATTTCATCATCATCACAAGTATTTTCACTACCAAGAACGTCGTCATTATTTCTATCACCATCAATATCACTATTGTCATTACCTCTCCCATCATCATCAGCAGCAACAGCAGTAGTAGTAGTAGTAGCAGCAGTGGTAGCAGCAGTAGCAGCATTATCTTGCTCAATTCCATCTCATTCGGTTATATGTGCGGTTTTATGGTGCAGAAACTATCCAAGATAAATAAGAAGAGATTCATCTGTATTCATCTTTGATTACATACAAAAAAAAGTTTGCACAACAACAGCAACAACAACATATACAAAATTACAAACGCATGGATACACACGCACATAAACAAACATACAAACATGCACACGCGCAATCACACACGCACACAAAAACTTGCGCGCGCGGGAAATCTGTCACAATTAGTTGCGCCTGGTTACATTACAACTTCATTCAAATCAATTTCAGCCGCGCAACTGGGCAGCGGCGGTGGACAAACACGCTCACACAACTCTCTACTCTTGTACAACACGCATCAACGAATAATGAATACAAACGCCCACACAACTCTAAGACAACACATACGCACGTGTACACAAACAGTATTTATTTAAATATGCGTGTACAAATTTATTGGGTATATAAAAATATATTTATATATATATAATACATATTATACCATCATATTATATTATATTTTTGATACGTATAATATAAAGCATAACAAAACCAATGAAAATTGTATAGATCAACAAACATGCATTCAAATACACACACAAACGCGCACAAACGCGCACACATACACACGCAAACACGCACACGTACACATACCTACACACATTCACAACTAGGCCATCACAAGAAGACTTACACGTGCATTACGACTGCACACATCACAGATCACGCACAGGCAACACAAAACGCATGACGGTAAAAAAAGTTCCCACGCACGCACACACACACACACACACACACACACACACGTACACACACGCCCCATGTGGTCCATGCATCCACGATATCTGCGTTCCTTGCTCTCCCGGGGGTAGTCTCAATTGATGGCATCAACAACCACCAATCTCTCCTATTGCTCTTGTTGTTGTTGACGTTGTTGTTGGTAGTGGTGGTGGTGGTGATGTTGTTGTTGTTGTTGTTGATGACATTGGCAGTGTGTCGATAGTTTTGTAGTTGTTGTGACTGGTGAGTTATATAGAAACTTACTAACAAATGTTGTTGTGCTGGTGTCGAGAATTTAAAGCGGTTGGTTTTGTTACCTAAATTGCTGTCATTATCGTTGTTCATGAACTTGTTATTGTTGTTATTTATTATTATTATTGTTGTTGTCGTTAATTAAAAAAAGTTTATACGATTGTTGATGTTGTTGTTGATGTTGCTCTTGATGTTGTTGTGATGTTGAGGTTGTTGTTGATGTTGTTGTTGATGTTGTTGATCCAGCGTGACATCATCGTTACCTTGTTTATTTATCACTAATTTATCGCAAGCCAATGGTGCTTGCGTTGTTATGATGTTGATGTTGTGTTGTTGTTGACGTTGTTGTGTTGATGTTGTTGTTGATGTTGTTGTGTTGATGTTGTGTTGATGTTGTTGTATTGATGTAGTGTTGATGTTGTTGTTGTTGATGTTGTTGTTGATATTGTAGTTGATGTTGCTGTTGATGTTGAAATCAATATTTTGTTAATTATTTCTTTTGTCTATTTTGTATCGTAACATTGCTTTGATACAATATCATCAAATATGCTTAAGTGCATACATTTACACACAGTATATATATACACTTAGATACACGTACACACACAATTGTTAGATGCACGCACATTCAGATACAACCGCGTAATCACACACTCACAATTTTAACTCACACACACACACACACATGCATACAAACATGCACATGCATGCATTAAGCAACATTAGAATGCACTCACTCACATCCTAACGAATCAACCGATGCGCAATCAATTTCAATAAACTCAAACAAGTGCGTATATACACAACACTGCACTAAACAACTACAATACGACACACACACACACACACATGCACAGATACATACATGCATACAAAGACTCACACAAACACGGATACAGGCTGAACCCCGAACACACCCACACACACACACCCCCGAACACACACACGCACAAACACACACGCACACACACACACACACGCACACACTCAAACAGCCACACACACACACGCACATACATAATTTTGAGTTTAGATGCCTAGTCACTTAGGCGAATTAAAAGTTTTCAAACCTCGGCGCATTTGCATATTTATTTCATTTGTTTCCATTCGAGATCATTTTTCCCACCGCCTATGCACCTTTCCTTTTTTTGATTTTAAATTCTCTTTTGTTTTTATTTTTGATTTTATTACATAAAAATTCTGTTTATCCATCTGTCCGTCCGTCCGTCCATCCATCGATCCATTCATCCATCCATTCATCCATCCATTCCTCCATCCATCCATACATCCATTTATCCATCCACCCCTCCATCCATCCATACAGATGTCTGTCAATCCATTCAACTTAAATAACACTCAAAACATACAGATGCACAAACAAAACAAAGATACACACAC